TCAGAACAAATAACTCTATTTGTATCTTTAACTTATTTATATATTACTATGTATAATCAACTATCAAAATTAAATTAACTCTAATATATTAAGAGTAAGTCTAATACATTACGTTTAATTTGGCCATATTTATGTTATGTTCAATTTATAGAGTTTAATTACTTGATAAGTACAATTTAGTTATAATTTATATATTTGATGTATAATTGGATCAATTTTATTCATAATTTTTAAGTCAACAACTATGTATTTACATTTATACCTTTGAAGGAAAGAATAATAAAAGTATCTAATTTGAATTAGATAAGGAATTGAAAGTTTTTTTTTAATCTATTCGTTCATATTGTATTCTCATCCATATTTTATGAAATCAGATTTCAAATAAACTAAAATTCTTAATTTTATCTTATTCAATAATTAAGAAATCTATTTTTTATAAGTAATATAAGAGACTATCAATTTGAATGTTATTATTCACCCAATAAAATGTAAACATTAAAATTGTCATTCCCATCAAACTGTCACTACTATCTCATTAATTCCACCTTTACCCTTGCCACCATGATTATTGCCACTATGATTACGGGCAAAATTGCTACCAATAGCCCCATTATCACCATTATCACACTCATTATTAATATTCTCATTTGCCACCTATCATCAATACTATTGTTATTATCTCTACTAATGCTACCATTTATTTTTTCTATCATTGTCATTACTCTCATTGCTAGTAAGTGTTATCGTTGTTATTATTGTTAATATCATTATCATTCATCAATTTGCTACCAGTAAAAAGGATAGTGCGACCTTTTTGTTCTCGTAATTCAATTTTGATAAATTTTTTATGGCCATGAGTACATCCAAGACTATGTCTTAATGTGTAAGTATTCATCTTGTTATTTTTTTATTAAAGGTTTCAAGCATGACATCTTGCAGGGGCCAATCTTAACTACTGTTTTTTATTCTGCGTCCTCACTTTTACAAAAATTGAATAGGTGTCATTGAAGGTAGTTATCTTACAAGATATCGTTAAATCTAGGGAGTTAAAATTTTTTTGCAGATAGATATGGTAAATACATTAGTTTATAAACCAATATTCATTTCACTTTGCTTTCTATGTTTTCTCTCATTTTGAGTTTCTTTTTCATCCTTTATTTTCAAGTGAAGTAAAAATTAATAAGATTATAAATCTTCGAAGTCAAAGTTCATGTGACTTTCTACTCTTTTGGTATAGATGTCACTCATTCAATAGGGTACGAATACTCAGATATTGTACATTGGAAAGAAGGTATGTGAATTACAGCATGACCTTGTTATAAGATGAATTTCTATGATCATATCATCAATATGTATTTTGGCACACTTGTTGCTTGAATAAAAAATGCTAACTATGAAAATCAACAACTATTTTCAACATATAAATTAATTCTAAAGAGGTAAAGAGTCTAAAGACCTAAAGATATATGTATTTAGGGGAAAAAATAAATAAATGGGGTCGAGATGAGCCAATTTCAAGGCCAAAAAGACTTGAAACATTTGGAGAAGAAGGGGCTTCTATTTGAAATATGTGAGGTGCTCCCTTTGTGTAATAAGCATACAAATTTGAACACCAAGCGCACTAGTGGCATGTCAAGTGTGTCTTATAATACTATTTATACTTGATAGCCATTTTGGTCATCGTGCAACTGTAAAGACAACAAAAATTTGTATTTTGTTGTTTGGACCTTTAATAGCTTTAAATTTTCTATTCTAATAACTGTGATACACTATTTCAAATTAGAAAAAATTCTTTTGATCCTTCAATAGAAAATCAATATATTTATTATACGTAAAATTTTATAAATAGAAGCTTTCTAGTACTTTAAATATATTAAAAAAAATCGTTAGAAAATTCTACATTAAATGTTCTATCTTTCCTTCTCTAATATTTTCACTAGATTTTACAATCTTTGGTTTATGACTAGGATAACCTCCATTAAAATCTGATTCCCCAACAAAAAATCTTTGTAAAATGATGATCATGACAAAATTGTCTCTAAGATTATGTGGGTAAATATACTATTTATATAAATATTTAAGAGTTATTATAAGAATTCTAGAAGAGACTTTTAATCTAATAATTTGTACAACAAAGTTGTGTTGAGTTTTCTTTTTTAAAAAAAGAAAATAATGGTATTTTTATCTACTTCATAGAATTTCAAGAAAAAAACTGTAGTTTCTCTTAAAAAAAAAACCAATAAGATAGTCAATAGTAAAAGAATAGATATAGCATCATTGAAAATAATTATAGACTAAATCTACAATAAAATCAAATCAAAACTATAGTTTACCTAAAAATTAGAATAAAATACAATATTTAGAGAACTGAATATACATCTCAAATTATACCAAAGGTGATAAATCTTTATTTTTATTAATTGATAAATGATTTTCCAACATTTTTTTTGTAATAATTAATTTACTTTTTACATTTTTTCTTTCAAATGGTCCACTTAATGTCTCTTCATTTGTTTATTTTTGGTTGATTAGATGAGATTAATTTATTTGAAATACGTATAAAATATTTGAAAAGATGATAATTAGCGAGACATGCATGATCGAGAGAACAAGTATGGAGTTGAAGAGTACATGAACTCAAAAGGTGTTTTTGAGATGATGAGAAAT